TTTAAATTTAAATTAACATTAATATATTTATCTCTTTGATTTTTGACAAATGAACATTATGAACTATCAAAACAGTAAAGAAAATAAATCATTAATTTTAGGACATTACTATTGTTTATTGAAGAATTGGAGAAATAATGTGCGAAAGAGATAATGAAATACTAATTTTAGGATACTACTATTTTTATTAGGTAATAAAATATATTTAATTTTAAATTTTTTACAAAGTACTCTAATAGAGGGAGGGGTAAATAGAAGGTGGGTTGGAGGAGTTAGAAGAGAAATGGAAAAGTTATAAAAGTATGAGACCCACAAAATACATTTTTACTTAGAGAAAATGCATAAGTACCCCCCAACCTATACCCGAAATCTCAAAGACACACTTGTACTATATTAAGGTCTTATTACCCTCCCGAACTTATATCATAAATAATTTTCTACCCCTTTTCGGCCTACGTGGAACTATCAACCAGATAGCTTGAAAAAAATTAGTCAACACGCGCTGGGCCCAGAAGATAGTGCCACGTAGGCCGAAAAGGAGTAGAAAATTATTTATAAAATAAGTTCGGGGGGTAATAGGACCTTAGTATAGTATAAGTGTGTCTCTGAGATTTCGAGCATAGTTGGGGGGGGGGGGGTACTTATGCATTTTCCCTTTTATTTATTAAAATAAGGAAAATACATAAGTTCACACCTTGAACTTGTCTCGAAAAGTCAGTTACATGCTTAAACTATCATAGAGACCTATTACACACCTGTACTACTAAAAAGTGAATTTATTTACCCCCGAAACGTACATCACCACTCTCACAATAGAAGATATATCACACTTGGCCACATCAATGTCATCTCACTACCACATCAGATGCCATATCAGATTTTGAATAAAATTATCCACGTCATCCAATTGTTTTTCTTCAATGAGCACTATCATAAAACTACTACCATTTCCACCATATTAGTACCAAGTCTATATATTTCACCATAAAAAATCAAAATAGTCGATAATTTCACCACCTACGATCAAACCCATCGTCAAAATCATCATCATCCCCACAAAAATTATAAAGATCCACCACAAAATTCAGCACCCATAAACAAACTCATCACCACCATACAAACCCACCACCAAATATCATCACCACCATTGTCAATATCGTTTTTTTTCTTCTTTTAACATCTTGAAAGCTCACTTAGTTGCCACTTATCACCAATAAATTCATCATTATATTTTATTTTTAAAACTCAATCATCAATTTTATATCAACCACCTACAAAATCGAAAAGAAAAATCGAGTATAATGAAAATGGCGAAATCAGATATGCATTGAAAAATTATATGATTTAGGAGAGGGGGAGTAGGATTTTGGTGGAGGTTGGGTGGGGTGGATGGAAATTGAATGTGTAAAATGAAGAGTAGGATTTTACCAAACACACTTTTCTTTTCTTTTTAAATTTTTTTTACCACGTCAATTTTATGGAGTAAAATAATTCATTTTGAATAGTAAAGGTGTGTAATAGGTCTTCATGATAATTTAAGTGCGTCACTGACCTTTCGAGAGAAGTTCAGGGGTAAATTTATGTTTTTTCTCTTAAAATAATTCCTCACACAACTATGACATGCTATGCCTTAACTATCATAATTTTTTTGGCTTAAGTCATCGATAACCCCTTGAAATTGTCCGCATAATTCACTTTGACACCTCGACTAAGACTAGTACCTTTGAACACTTTTAACTATTTTGAATTTCTTCACACGCTCCAAGGAAGTGCAAAATACATTTTTTGTTACATCAGCGCTTTGTGTTTAATAGGTACATATTTTAAATAATTTAGATATTCAATAGGTATAAGATGTAATTAAGGTGTCTAAATAAATTATACGAATAGTTTTAAGAAATTGTCGATGAGTTAGGCCAAAAAAAATATTGTACAACACTTTGTTATTTAGAGTAGCGTGAGAGATCTACACAGTGGCATAGTGTATGCAATTCATAGAGCCATAGGCATGTTCTTGAGTTGGAAAAAGAAAAAGTGAAAGAAATTTTTCAAAAAACTGTTGAGCAAAATGTGAATAATATTTTTCGAATTGAAGATGAGATGTTGTCCTACATAACACCATTAACTTAAGAAACATCAAATTGTTGTCTCTTACTCCATTTTAGGGATGTTCAGATTTTAGCATGTTCACAAGGTTAAGCAATTTTTCACCAGGTTTTGCTTTTATTTTTGGATGGATTTAAATATCGATCGAAAAAACTAAAAAATCAAACTAATTTAGTTCTTCAGTTTCAATTTTTTAGTTCGAATTTGGATTTTTTTTTCTGAAATTTTGATTCGGCGTTCAATTTAAGGGTCACCGTTCTTCGGCAAACCCAAATTTATTCATCAGATTTTTAAAAAATATTTTAAACTCTAAATTAAATTTAACTTTGTCCCAAAACTTTTTGGCCCATTTTTGATATAGTATATTTATGTAAGTAATTTCCTTTTTGATGCTCTTTAGTTGCCATAAATTGATTCATAATTTTCGAAGAAAGAATTGAAATTGCATATAATATGAGAATCGCTGCATCTAATTAATGTATGTTTGGTCTATAAACCTTCTTTTTTGTCAGTGAAGCATCCTATAAAGAATCGAAATTGCATCTAATTATTGTGTTTTTGGTCTATAAAAATGTATGTCTCCATGAAAAATGTTTATTTTTTGTTTGGTCTAAAGTAAAGAATAATTGGTCTTATACTTCAATAATTTGATGCTCATTTTATCTCTCATTTAAAATTTGATAAAACCTAATTGAAGAACCAAACTCATTAGACTTTGTCACAGTATAAAAATTAAATATTTAATGTTGCCTAATTTTATAGTAATTACACTTGATTTATATGTTCATTGGCAGACTGGGAAAGGATTTGAGATTCAGCTATTTTTTTATCAGATAAGCAAGGCTTTTGTTCCCAAGTTTACAGAAAAAATTATTTTGATATAAGCTGATTATTTTTTCTAATTCAAGAAAAAAACTTAGTAGTATTGAGATATATTTATGAATGAGTCTCTGGCATGAAATTGATACACACTATTGTCAGATCGTTGTTTTGCATGTCTCTACTATTTGAGATTCCCTTTTAGTTACGATTATTTTTCGATTTTTCCTGAACACCTATACTTATAATTAATTGATTTACTTGTACTATTTGATTTTGTATTTGTTTTCTACTTGGTAAATAGAATATTTAGTATCCTTAGTTCATTTTCTGTATAAGAATATAAGTATTTAGTATAATCTCACAATTGAGATCTGGGAAGGAAAAGTGTATGTAAACCTTAGCTCTACCCGGAAAAGTGTATGCAAACCTTAGCCCCACCTCATAGAAATAAAAATATTGTTTCTAAAAGACCCCCAGCTTGAATAAAATAGTTTCTTAATAATTTGAAAAGGGAAAACATAAATTAGGCAGTTACAACAATGAAATAATACGAAATGGAGAACAATTTACAACAAGCTGAAGAAAGAACAATAACAACAAAAATAATTTGATAACGAAGCACAAGAAAAAGTGATAACCGAAATCGAAGAACAAGAAACTACAAGAATCGTGTTAAATACTACTGGAAGAAAGAAGGTTCAAGTGCGACCGCAAGCCTATCTCGCATAAAAAGCAAGAGAACGCTCAACTACTAACTAACCTTCTACCTCAATTCATCACATCTAAATCCTCTTATGTAATGTCATGCTCAATAACCTAAAGATGCATTATGTCTTGTCTAATCACCTCCCCTATACTTCTTCGACATGTTTTTAACTCTCCTAACACCCCCCCCCCCCATTGCCAAACT